GTGAATCCGCGAAAACTTCAGCAATTTCCGTTCCACCTCCGGAACAGTGACTGGATGGGCGCGCACGAGGAGCGGGCATTACTGGAGGGGCAGATGCTGAATTGGGGTCCTCATGCCTATTCGTTATTCCGAAAGCATTTTCTCGCTTCCGAACATTCTGCGCCGCATTTGGGCACTGACTTGATAGGGGGTCCTACTATCCCAAGCTGCCAAAAGCTAAGACCCCCGACTTAGGGTGGACGATGCCTTTGACGCTGTCTTGGAGAACCCCGACCCAAGCACTCGCTCGTCGAACTTCGCAGCGGATATGAGTAGTGTTCCTTGATTGTGATCCAGCGGGTTCGTTGCAAAAGCGGAGAAACGGGGATCACAACATTGAAGGAACAGATGACGATGGGCACTACATCAGAGTGAGTTCCTCGCCATGCGAAACAAAATCGGAGAAGACCAAACGAGATGGAGGTCCTCGCGGATTGGACGGACCAGCTGGGAACTCACTGGATACAACCTTCCCACCTGCCCACCTGCGGCATGTATGGCTAACACATTGATCATTTCGGCTATTCGGAAGGGACCATAAGTGGGGGATACCCATAAATAAAACAAAGTTACCAATCTGAACAAAGCTAGTCAGACCACTGGACGTACCCCCGACGGCGCATGGTCCATCATCCTCGAATTCGTCTGCATACATGTCTGGTGTATCACCGGTTTCTCCTACATTACTGCGCGTACTTCCTTTGTATTCGTTGCGGCGATAAACTCTATTTCCAATTTTGTACGTCTCAGCATATAGCGGAAATGACGTCATGCGAGAAGTATGCTGGAAAGTGATGAACTTCCATACATGGGGCACCTTTCGTAACCTTTTAAACTTTCTTACAACTGCCACCAAAATTCTGACCAAATTCCAAAAATAAGGTGCGAATTCAGCTGGAAGCTTATTAGGAAATAATTCTTGGGGTTTTTGGAAGAAATCTCTTACGTTAGCAATGCCCTTTCGGAACAAAATGCCGAAATCTCAAAACTGCAAATGAACGGTCAAAATTCTAAAAAACATCTTA